CACACACACACACACACACACACAATCAGTTTTATGTCTGTCGGTCGTTCTTCTGTTGTCTGTCCTCCCCCTGATTTTTTCTAAGTATTTTTTTGTGTGCCCAACTGAGCACCCGTAAGTAGTGCCAAACAGTCGGTGGTTCCTCGTTTGGAGTGCCTACTGCACTCTTATGGGGGCTGCTCGGTTCGGGACGTCTGTGTTGCCTGTCGGTGACGACAGATGTTTGGCGGAGTGACTCCCTGGCTCAGTGGGTGGTGGGAACCAACAGTCTGCGAGTTCAATCGTGATGTGAGTAGGTCGTGTGCTGCTTTGCTCCGTGTTGGATGTGTGGACGTCCTCGTCTCCGCTCCGCCACTGCCTTGCTGCCTGTCCCGCTTGCTTCGCGTGTGGTTCTTTGCAGGTTGATGTGTTCGCTGTGCGGTGTGGCCGTGTTGTTGGTGTTGCCTTGCGCTTTGCTGCTTCGCTGCCGTGCTGCTCATCCGCTGGCCGTGCCTTCCGTGGTTGTCGCTTGTGTGCCCTGTGGGTTGGTTGCCTTGTTGCTGGTGCCTTGTGCTCCGCTCCGCGGTTGCCGTCCTGCTGGCCCACTTGCATTGCCGTCCTCTGCGGTGCTGTTGCCTTGCTTGTGTTGTCTTGGGCTTCACTTCATGGTTTCCGCGCTGCATCCTGCGTGCCATGTCGTTCCTTGCAGTCGTTTTTGGCGTTGTGCAGCCTTGTTGCCTCTACTGTGTTGCCTGGTGCTTCACAGGGTTGCTACTTGCTGCTATGTTCCGCTTCATGTCGTTCCTCGCAGTCATTTTTGGCGTTGTGAAGCCGTGTTGCCTCTACTGTGTTGCCTGGTGCTCCACAGGGTTGCTGCCCGCTGCTATGTTCCACTTGGGGACAGTCTGCCTTCAACAAGGGTCAGAGGGTTCATGACCAAAACCATCAAATAGGAGATTCCGCAGATTGTCGAGGGTTCAGCCTCCTGATGAGTCGGTGCAACTCCGACGAAACAATCTTGTTATCATCAATGTTTATTTTTTTCAGTCTTCCGTTTCTTTAGACTTGTATGTTTTTTGGTTTGCTTGTTTCGTGTTCTTGTGTCGTCTGCCCTCCTGCTTCCTCTGTGCCTTCCAGCCTCCTCTGTGTCTTCCAGCCTTTACTCTTTGTTGCTGTCGGTCATCCTATGCCTTGTTATCCTATGTTGTTGTGTGTCCACCCGCCTTTCCCACATGCCTTTTCCTTCGTCGTCTTTTATTTGCCTTCCCCTAGTACTTGCTCTGTATTGTTTGTTTGCCCGCCCGCCTCCCCCTTTCCCTCCCAGCCTGTGTGACATGATGTCGTTATTTGCCTTGCTGTTCGTTGTACGCGTTGTTGCTGGCTGTCAGTCGCTTTGTCCTATTGGACTGTTGTTTATGGCTCATGGCTTAGTGCCCTTGGGCTCTAGTCCTTGTGTCTTAGTAGGGTTGGTGAATGATAGAGGCTGCTGCATGCCATGATCACGGTACAAGGGCTAATAAGGACCCAGTGGTGTTCAGATGCTCGAACGGTCCCGGTGTGGGTGATACAAAAGCTTGCTGTATGGGTCTTTCTAAAATGGTGTAAAAAGCTCCACGTACCCTGAACGCAGCTCGCCGCGATTCGCGTTGTGGTAGCGTTATGAGTACTTAAAAACACACAACTACACACACATACACACACATGATCACAATTGCCATCATGTACGCTTTCTATCTTTACCCCCCTACACGCACACACATAAGCACCACTACACAATACACACACTAACACACTAACACACTAACACACACACTCACACAGTCACACACTCACACTGAGTCACACACTCACACTGAGTCACACACTCACACTGAGTCACACACTCACACAAACACTGGTTGACCCTTCGCCTGTTCACCCACACCCATACAGAATGCTATCACAAGCACCACCACCCCACATATACAACCAAGAACAACCACAAAAACCGCCGTTCCAAAAGCATTACCTCCCAACACCCACCCCCCACAATTACGCTCAGCCCCCTCATAAGATTAGCAGCAACACTACCAGCTGACCCCCAACAGACACAGATCTGCTCTAAAACACGACGACTCACATTCTTCTAAAAGGTACGTCTGTTGATGTACGACAGTTATGGGTACACCCATTAGTCCACACAACCAATAAAAATCAGCGAGGCCACAAAGCGGCAGCAATAACTAGGAGCCAACACAAAAACTACAACAATCACACATCGGAACACATACCCCGTGCAAACCACGATGCACACCCAGACTGCAAATATGCCCACTGCTTCTAAACATCACAGACCTAACAACAATGCCCTTACTATACAAAATCCCACACACATACAGTAAGCAAACCAGCAACCTCCTCCAAGCCAAACACCACTCCCACCACTGCGCCAACAACACAACACTACCCACACGGACCACGGACGAACACCTCAGCATCTTTACAAAAACGACAACACACACAGACGCGCATATGGACCCACCACTGCGATATGCACACCACCGCCCGCCTAAGTCAAACAAGGCCAAACGTCTCCCCATTCATGACCTTAATACTGCAAAAAAACGTACCCAAATCAAACATAACCCGGATCCGTTTTTTTCCTTTCCCCCCAACCCCTACTGCGGACCACGAGCATGAAACGACATTCCCACTGTGCACGACTACAACCCACCTCATGACAACACTACACACTCACTGACCATTACCCAGATCGTGACCACGGCGGCTAGCTCCCTCGCCAGAACAGCAAGCACCTACATACCCACCCTACAAGACAAAACTCTACCTGTGCCGCCATACGAAACATACATAGACAGACCCACCATCACACACACACCCTTTCAAGAAAAAGAAATCGCACCCCTCCACTGCCCGCACCAAACTAAAGGCATTTGATCCCACCCACATCACAAATCCCACTCGCATAATTAATCCAAGGTATCATTCTAACTCCATTACCCAGACCACCACACCCACTTCCTACCGACATTTCTAATACCCAAACCCATCCCCATGCAGAAGATGCTACCAAAGGGCTCCCCCATATAACCCCCACCCTCGCCCTCAATCTCTTTCTGCCTCCACACCCTCACAAAACTTACACACCCTCAGCACACAGTACCCCCATCATACAGCCTCCTCCCTCCCCACCACAACCAACCCGCCTCCCCTTCCTCCTCTCGTACACCGTCACCACCCACCATGGCTCGCCCAGCGGCTCGAGTCCGAAACACCACTTACCTTCTCCACATAAGTATACCCTCACTCCCCAACAGAACTTGCCTCTCGGCTAGAGTTCTTCAATACATACTCACACTCTTTTCCTCTCTATTGCTACTCCAGTTCTCCCTGCTAATACCTCCATGCTCTAGCTCGGCATAAACGTGTCTTTGTGTTATCGACTCTCGTCTCTCCTCTCTCCTCTCTTCTCTCCCCACTGCCACTTCTTGCTCCCCTAAGCAGACGCCCAGCCACGAGCTAGCAACCACACTGCAGCTCGCAATGCTCGGCTGATTCGAACTGTGTACGTGCTGCCTATGGGCCCTACACGTGCGAACTCTGGTGTTGACACTACCACGACGACTTGCTAACCGTGGCCAAGAAGAGTCCACCTGTCCCCATGGCTACTGTCGAAGACGCTGCATCCACACAAGCGTTTTGCAATCAGGTATGGCCTCTCCATCGCTACCCGAACCTGCTGTGTAATCCCCTATCCTCTGTCCTCTATCTTTCCCTTCTTCCTCCGGGAGCCAGAGGCAGACCCTCTGATGAGCCGTTAAGGGTGCTACACGACGAAAAGCGCTTCAGGGAATGCACCCACCTTTCCCCGGCTACTACGGCCAGGATAAAGATATGCTCCCACCCTCCTCCATCCCTTCTTCTTCCTGCTCCTCTTCCTTCCGCAACGCCTGGAGCTTCACGCCGTATTCTCCTGCTCCCCTCTATCCTCTTTCCTTCTAGCGATCTGTGATCTTCTCTACTTGCTTTTGCAGATCATGCACACCAGTAGCAAGTATACGATCAGCAGGTCAGGTATGGTTCGCTCTCTGCATAATGCAGAGTTGTCGTGTTTTACACCCTCTTCCCCCCCCCCCCCCCCCCCCCCCCCCCCCCCCCCCCCCCCCCCCCCCCCCCCCCCCCCCCAACCCAACCCCAACACACACACACACGTTCAGAGACAGCTTTGATTCTGAATCTATTCACCTGGGTGGAATTGGGGCTGTTCTGGGGAAAATCTAAAACACACACACACAGATTCTGAATACACACAAACCCTGTAGATGTTCAGCTTTGTTCAGGCTTTGAGGTTCGCTTGAAGACACGTCGAACGAAGTGGAGGATCTTGTATCAATCGTCTTGACTTCCATAATGGCTGACAACAGCGACCGTGATGGGACTGACAAATATCACCGACGGGGGCTGCACCTCGGACACAACTATGGAGCAGAACATTGGAACACAGATTCGGTCTTCACAGCTTGTTCAGCCGTACGGCGTGATCCGTAGAAGGCTGCTCTCAGACAGAGACTGCGGCGCCGTGCCATGGCAATCGCAGGTCATTGTACCTGCTCTCCAGTGGAGGATTCAGTCCTCCCTCCTCTCATGCATCCTCCTCCGACCGTGCCTCTCTACAGTGCCTTACAACAGCCACCCACTTCAGGCAAAAGCGTTGTGGCACCTGATCTGACCTTGCCAGCCACAGCAATGCACGTGTCATCAGCTGGTGATAACAAACAACCGTTCGGCACACGGATCGTTCAGTCCTATGGAATACGTTGCACATGACTGACTGTCCATCACTGTCAGTTCTCAGCCACATTCTTGTCCACAAGCTGAACGTTCGTTGTCTCCAACAGAAGGCAGGTTGCGGCAACTCTCCCCTTGCCACAGCGAACGCTCATAAGGATACAGGGTGTCCTACATCTGACGATGGGGAACATCCCCAGCATTTATGCAGGGGATTTTGAAGCACTGCAGCTGTTGGGGGTATCTGCCACCGTGGTACGTCCTGAAATGCCAGGTTCGACGACACCTGGCATTGCCGTTGAAGGGGAAGCGGCCATTGGCATTGCATCAGATGGTGTGCCCACCTCCAATGCTCCGACCTGTGGGACTTCAGGAAACAGAGAGGCTGGGGGTGCGGTGGACACGCAGGGCAGATCCTCGGATGGTGCACCGGGTGGGGGAGACGGAGTTGAGGGCGGAGGAGACGGCATCCCTCCCCCACGAGGCCAAAAGCATGGCAAGAAACGAGCTTCAGGACCTGATCCTGATAAAAGCAAGAAGAAAGTGACGACGAGATGGGGGGACGAAGAGACAAACTGTGTTAATAATAAGGATGCAGTATGACGTCAAGGCGACACACGGCGATGATTCAGAGGTATATGGGGTTGCCTACCGGTTTGAAGCTGCGAATGTGGAATGATGTGGAGGAATGGATGAAAGAATGTGGATGAAAGGAAGCATGACGAATGCAAGAGTCGTTGGCACTATCTTATGAACTGGTACAGAAAGGTAAAAGACCATGACAAGTGGTCAGGCAAGCAAAAGTACTGGACTATGGACCAGGCACAGAGGAAGGAAAAATGTCTGGACTTTGTTATATCCAAGGGAATGGTATCAGATCATTGACGTGCATGAAAAGGACAAGGACGCCATCAACATGGATGATATAACTGATCCAGGTGCTGAAACAGAGATGATGGTTGATGACGGCGAACAAATACAGCGTGCGAACAACAACATTGAAGCGGACGAGGAGGCAGAGGATGCGAATGAGGAGGCAGAGGATGCGGATGAGGAGGCGGAGGATGCGCGACAACGCCGTCCCAAGCTCGTGCACATGCCACAAATTCTATGTGCCATCAGATTCTGGGCAGAAGTCCACAACCGATCAGAGAGATGTGTCAGGCAAGAAGAAGAGGGGTGTGCAGAATGCCCGGGAGCAGACAATGCAGGCGTTGTGCGGGGTGATGTGAGATCATACTGCGGCACAGGTGCAGACAAGGGACATCATGTTGTACTGAGGGACATGTGTGGCAAGCAGGTAGCGACGCAGGAAAGAGTTTTGCTCAGATGACCTGTGAAGCGATGGAGAACGACACAGCAGTACGAGATCGAGGGGCAGAAAGGATTGCAGTTGAGCTGAGAGGCGGTTATTCTGTACTGGTGGAAGCCGTCAAGAGTTGGTCTAACTTGGGCGGAGGATCTGCTGCCGGCAATTAAAAGTTGAAAGTGCAGGGGACGCTGCACTTTATTATTTATTAATCCTTTCTACTACCTACAGTTGCCGCACCTGCAAGCAATAGCAGGTTATTGAAGTGTACCCACCACCGTTTCTGCCGTCTGGACTGGTGTGTGTTCTTTTTGCAGTTCCCGGTAGGTAGTTGTTCGTAGCAAGCAAACAATCCACCGCGAGCTTCTGAGCAGCAGCGAGGAAGGGCACAATGAGCTCGAGTGCTGTCTCGAATGGCGTACCCATGATGTGAAGCAAACCCCTCCGACGCCAAACTACCCATCGCCGACAACCCTCCTACAGTGGTCCAAGTCGCAGTCTAACCACAAGAACATAGCCCTCAACAGCCCCCCACCTATACAAACACACACAGACTTTCCTGGCTGGGCACTTGAAACAAAAGAAATCTACAACACCAACACTAAGTCTCACTCACCGCATACACAAGCCAAAATAGGAACAAGGCCGACACCAGAAAATGCTGCGATGTGCATGTTGTTTGCAGCCGAGTTGTAATGTCCTCCAATGCTAAGTGGATGGCCATTGTGCAGACGGACTGCTTCTTTTGTGCAGCCTAAGAGTCATCCCCTCACATTCTGGGACGGAAGTTAATACAATGGACATGGTGCAACGAATCTTGTATTTATTTATTTCAAGATTCCAGTGTATTCAGTAGCCCAGAGTGACCACATTCAGGTGAGACTGCTTCGTCTGAGAGACCGTACTTTGAAAATGGGATGTGGCCCACCTTCCCGTTTCATTTAAAATGAAGATACCTCTGCATTCAGGCACTGTTACATGCTGCGCCTGCAACAGGCTGCACAGGCCATTTTCAGGCCCGTGTCATTTTCAGGCATTTTCAGCCCGAAAGCCTGAAAACAAGGGCCTACAGGCCCTGTGTCGTTTCAGCCTGAAAGCCTGAAAACAAGGGCCTACAGGCCCTGTGTCGTTTCAGCCTAAATCAGGGCCTTTCCGGCCCTGAGTCTTTTCAGCCTGAAACTGCCATTTTCAGGCCCTCATGAGTTCAACCTGCCCTGAAACTCAGGCACCAAACCAGGGTTTTAGCACAGGCCATTCTGGGCCTGTTTTCAAGACAACCCCTGGTTGAGCTTCAACGCCAGGGTCTGGCACGTTTCGGCATTGGCAAGAGCAGCCTCCTGGACGGGCCAGCACTATATAGGACTGGCCCACCCTGCAGGCTGCAGGTCGTTCCTAGGTACTTCCCAGGCACTTCACGTGCAGTTCAGGAGGCAGGAGGTAGTCTTCAGGATTCGGCAGCAGCACTCTGGAGGAGCGCTGCAGGAGTAGTAGTAGCGCTAGCAGTAGTCTTCAGCGCGGGGCGCTAGTAGCATTAGCAGTAGTCTTCAGCGCTGGGCGCTCTTAGGAGCTAGAGTAGTACTAGAGAGAGAGAGATTGGGCAGAGGCCAGGCATACTTACCTGCAGCCTCATAGCTCCATCTTCACCTTCGAGGTACCTGCAGCACAGCGCCATCTTCACAGGTTAGTACCTGGCATATGAGAGAGAGAGAGTTCTTCTTCTTCCTCTTGTCAGTCCACCATCTCCATCTCACCCTCTCGCTACCTGACTTCACTGCATCAGCAGACTATGAGAGAGGGGGCTTGGTGACATTTGGATCCAGACTTGACATTGGGCTTCAGACATTTTGACGAGGGATTATTTGGGACTTGTAACAAAGACTTGGTGTTGACGACATTCCCATCTCTCCCCCCTCCTCTTCGTCTGTGCATGATTTGGACCTGGCGCATTCTTCCTGTGTGTAGCGCCAGGCCCCTTCACACCTTGTGATGAGGACGATGTATGTTTGGTCTCCGTTGCAACATTGATTGGGCTAGTCATTGGTATTCTAGCATTCTGCTGCGCTGTCTTGCACTACGTGATAAAGGTCAGTCCCGGTCAGGTCAGGACTTGTATCTAAGTCTTCCCCTGCGCTATAAACCACCATTTGTATGTATCAGAATGTACACTGCTTGTTGAGATTTCACTTGCACTGCATTGTACATTCAGTCCTTTTTATCACATTGCGGATCCTCAGTTTTATTTGTACATCGCCCAACTGGGCATGTAACAGGCACCCACAGTGACCGCATCCATCCTCGGACGGTCTGGGCAGTGGTACCTACATGGTGGAGATGCATTCACCTACAGAAATAGAGCTGACAGTGTCAAGCCTGGGGCCCTAGCTCAGTTAGTAAGGCACAGAAGTTGCATTCAGGAGGTCGTGGGTTCAATCCCCATTGGCCTCGCGTATGTGCCTGGGCAAGCTTGGTGTTCTACCAGCTAGAGATAAACCGTTTGCCACCCAAGCCACCTTCATTTAAAATGAAGATACCTCTGCATTCAGGCACCCACAGTGACAACATCCATCCTCGGACGGTGTGGGCAGTGGTACCTACATGGTGGAGATGCATTCACCTACAGAAATAGAGCTGACAGCATCCAGCCTGGGGGCCTAGCTCAGTTGGTAAGGCACAGAAGTTGCATTCATGGGTTCAACCGCCATTGGACTCGCGTATGTGCCTGGGCAAGCTTGGTGTTCTACCAGCTATAACCCGTTGGCCCCCCAAGCCAGCAGTGGAAGGACCTTGGCTGATGTTGTTGGCTGCTATGCAGCGACAATATTGGCCATTAGACACCGCCATGTGGGGTTTGGGGGGGGTAGGGGGAGGTGCAGTGATTGCTCGGCGCTAGCACCGCCGATTTCCCTCATCGGCAATGCCTGCCCACCCCTCGTCACCGTGATGAGGGACTGGTACAGCCTTGCTCTCGCACCACAGCTGCGGTGCTAACCTGCCCCATGGGCTGGGGAGAGATCCGGGTTGGTGGTGTTCCCCCGTACTATACAATAGACTAGTGAGAGGATGTGATAGATGCGTACTACCAAGAAAGATGAAGTAGATGAGACTTATGATAGAAGAATATAGCTTACCTTTTTTTTCTTTTTTTAAAAAAAAAAAAAGACCTGAGGGCGTCCTAGACTGCTTTAGAGTTTGAGACTGTGGTTGGTAAAAGGACAAGAACCACGTCGTTTCAAATTTCAAAGATTCTTATGTATCGAGCCTAAAAGAGCGATCACATTCAAGCCTTGCTCCACTACTCTCAACATGCACAAAAGATGAAAATGATGGCAATGTACCTTTCTATGTTATAAAGAAAGATTCACTCTCGTTTTGCACATTTCGAGAGTAGTGGAGTGAGGCCCTAAGAAACGATTATGTCCACTGCCCAGCTATGCATCTACCCAAAAGAGATGACTGCGCCTATTCAGAGGAAGGCACACTCTCACAGGGACATCGTTTCATCATGACCAGGAGCTCCAATACACCAGAATCTGGGCCTCGTTCGACACCACTACAAAACCCTTACATGTAAGGTTTTCATCGTTCCACCCCTCCCTAATCGTGAAGAAAAAGAAGTCGAACTTGTTTCACATTCGCGGCCGTAAGGGTGGGCCCTACAAAAGTAAGGACTCCCCAGCCAAAATGGACCTTAACGTAAGGACGCCCGTGGAGGTGACTTGAAAGTAGGGGGTGGCACCCTTACATCCGCAAAAAA